AGAGGTAACTGTCAGTCTCTCTCTCCTCATAATAGTATCTAATACAGGGCCTCCCTGGTGGTGCAGGGGTTGGGGCGCAACCTATGAAGCGGTCTGCAGCCACTGCGGCACGAGTTCGATTCCCGGCCTGCCAGGGAGAAACCCTGGTGGGACAGACCTCTCCTGTCTCACCCACTGCTCCCCTCAGCAGTGTACTTCGGTCCGTCTGCCTGTTCTGTTCCCCATTCTGGCTCTGGTGAATCCTCTTACCCCCCCGCATCTCTGGCCTGTACCCCAATTCTTATATAAAAAATAAATAAATCTTTTAAAAAATAGTATCTAATAATATGGTGTAGACTATGTACAAAATCTAAATCTCTTGCAATGTTAAAAACTATTATTCCAACTGCCATATTATCATCACTGACCTGACTCTCAAAAAAAAAAAAAAATCTAAATTAACAAACAACATATAGCTGATAATTAGCTTATCATCCTATTCAACAAAATAATAATGGAGAACTTCCAAACCTAAGGAAAGAATTAAATTTGGATGCCTAGGAAGCAGAAAGAACCTAAATTTCTACATGCAAAAATGACCTTATCCAAGACACATCACTGTAAAATTATAAAAATTCAGACAAAGAAAAATATTAAATGCTGCTTGGGAAAAAAAATGTAAAAACATCAATCAGACCTTCCTCAAATTTCTTAGCAGATACACTAAAGGTTAGAAGAGAGTGGAATGACATTATTTACAATGCTAAAAGATAAAAACTGCCAGCCAACATACTCTAATATCTTTTTTTTTTTTTTTGGTGGGACCCTCACCGGCGGCCAGGGAACGAACCGGTGCTGCAGAGGCTGCGGGCAGCCTCGCAGCCCAGTGCTCAACCACTGCGCCACCAGGGGAGGCCCAACATACTCTATCCTGCAAAATGATTATTCAAAGGTGATGGAGAAACAAAGGCTGTCCCAAACAAACAAAAGCTAATGGAGTCTTCCATCACTAGGACCGCCCATTAGGGAATGTTGAAAGAAGCTATTCCACATGAAAACAATACAGAGAAGAACAGAAAACCTTGAGCAAGGGGATAAAAGTACTATGGAATCAGGGCCTCCCCGGTGGCGCAGCGGTTGAGCACTGGGTTGTGAGGCTGCCGGCTCTGCAGTACCATTTCGATCCCCGGCTGCAGGGCGAGGGTCCCGCATGGCGCGCAGACCTCTCCTGCCGCCCGCTGCTCCCCTCAGCAGTGTACTTCGGTCCTTCTGCCTGCTCTGCTCCCCGCTCTGGCTCTGGTGAATTCTCTCACCCTCCCGCGCTTCTGACTGTACCCAGTGCATGTATAAATAAATAATAAATAAATCTTAAAAAAAAAAAAAGTACGATGGAATCAGAAATATAAAAAAAATAATAAAAAGAAACAACAACTAAGAAATTATAGGAGAGGAAGAAAAGGGAAGACTCTGTATAATAAAGTGATGATGAGTTGATGCCAGCATACACAGGACTATTTTGGATAGAAAGTCTGATATACCCCACACGGTAACAACAAAATAAAAACCTATAATAGAGACAAATAGAAGAAGGCATGAAGATTCTGAGTCACCAATGATGGCATTCAAATGAAAGGGCAGATAAAAGAAAATGTAACAAGAAGTGAAAGACGAAAAAAAAAGCCTAGCCATAAATAATATATATATATATTATTTCTACATCACATATCAGTAATCACCTAACATGTGAAAAGTATGTTCTCACTAATTAAAAGCAGCAGAATCACAAGTTGCATAAAAAAGCGTAACTCAGAAATAATTTGCATACAAGAAGCTCACTTTATATCTAAAGACAAACTTAGACTTAAGTGGAAGGCTGAAGCAAAATATCTCAAGTAAAAAAACTGAGAAAAAGGCAGGAACTGCTATTCTCCTATATGATAAACAAGACATTCGGCAAAGAATATTGTAATTAGTGATAAAGAATACCTTGTATCAAAAAGCCTGGAAACAACTGTTAGTGAGGATTTGGTGAAAAAGGAGTGCTTGACCACTGTTGTTGGGAATAAAATATGGTGCAGTCTCTATGGAAAATGGTATGGTGAATTCCTCAAAAAAAAAATACTATTTGATCCGGCTTGACCACTTTGAGGTATTTACCAAAGAACATGGGAAATCTAGTACAAAAAGATGTATGCACATCTATGTTTACAGTAGCATTATTTACAATATCCAAGGCAAGGAAACAACCCAAAAGCCCATTAATAGATGAGAAATTGTGGTCAAAGAAATTGTGGGATATGCTCAATGGAACACCACTCATGTGTTAAACAGGATTGCCTTCTGGGACAAAATGAATGGATCATAACGCTAAGTGAAATTAGTCAGAAAGTGAAAGCCAGTCACTGTATGGTTTTGCTCATTTGCAAATATAAATAACTCATGAAAGCAAACTGGCAAAACCACAAGTATAATTTTAGACTCTGTAAAAGATATACTGGCCACCAGGAGAGATGGGAAGGTGATGGGAAGGCAACAGGGTCATAGCATGAGGGCTTTGGTCAGGGTGAGTGAAGCATGTATTCAGATGGAGCTGTGAAGTGTCCACAATTATTCAGTTACATAAGCAAATAGCAAACCAATAAAACTCAAGGAGAAAATAAATCAAACACCTTAAAATACTTAAGAATAAACTTGTAAAGAAAGATATAATCCGAAATGAAAAAAACTAAAATCTTACTGAGGAACATAAAACAAATGAAGAATGTGGTCAGGTGCTACATGTTGCTGTGTAACAAATTACTCTAAAACTATGGCTTAATATTTTAAACATGTATTGCCTTGCACAATAAAAACAAAAACACAGATGAACTTGCGGGATTTTCTTTGGAAGGAAAATGCACTGGAAAGGTAAAGCAAAGCTTGAGAGTCTCTGTAAGGGGTGTGACAGTTAAACTAGTCCTTGTATTTATATCCAACAAACAGGTTCAGAATGGAAATCAACCTCTTAAAAATAAGCTGTCCTGCAGAAACAGCCCTCAGTCAATACTATACTAATGGTGTGTTGTGTTTTCTTCCTTGAAATTGCTAATACTTTTAAGGGACATAAGAAAAACCAAAAGAAGCACTATGAAATATAAAAATATACAAGGTGTTTAAGTCTCTAATGCCAGAAAATCAGCCAATTCCTTAAAAATTGCTAGCACTCTTATTTTTAATGAGCACGTCTTGAAATATCACACTCTGAGACGCAGTACTTTATCCTAGTTTATTTTTTTTTTTGTTGCTATTGTTAACCATTACACTGGAACGCAGACTTACTTGTACCACCAATATTATATCAAACTGTGTATTTTATTTTCCAAGTATGTCTTCAGAAGTATGTATTTCCTTTTATATTTCTTTCTGATGTTGAAAAATCTCTCTTTCAAAATCCCTCTCTAAATTTTGTCTAAGGGAAAATTGTAAAACTGTTCCTATAAAGTGAAAATGTTGAGGATAAACTGGCAAAAAACAAAAAAGAAAAACTTGTAAATCCATTGGCAACTCTATATTTATTAAATATAATTTCTTCCTTCAGAATATCTTTGGTTATTCTCTAGATAGGCTTATTATTTTTTATTTCCATCATTTTGTTTTTACATTTAAAGTATATTTAAATTTAAAGAAAGATCTTTCCCTTTTCTCTACGTATAAGTAGGTCACTACAGTGAAGACTCAGAAGAGGACACCTTAAGACAAAGGGATAAACTAACACATTATAAATTCATATTTTTAGTGGAGAGAGTTAAAGAGTCTCTTTATACAACCATCTAATACAAATTACTAAATTGGAGGTAGAGTAAAACATGACAAGAATTGTATTCTTAAGTGTTCTCCAGTTTTATGATTCCACATTTTTCTTGTGGTATTTTTATGTTGCTTCTATTTGAAGAAAAAAGAAATCCAAAGAAATGCCTTATTTTACATCCACATTTCCTCAAGCCCCTTAGTCTTCAATCTGCAATTCTAATACCATTTTCTTTCATACTCTATAGATAAGAACAAATAGAATAAGAAATGAATAGGTTGTCACATTTCAGGACCAACCTCAGTCACTATTCACACTCCAGATATCCCTGAACAGGAGTGAGAATGTACAGAAGGGAATCATATTTCACCAAACAAACGAAAGCAAAACTTCCCAGACCTACCCAGAGGCATGAAGCAGCTCAATGATCTTTATTATTCCCATTTCCTAGCACACCAAAAATGTATTTCAAAAAAAGCATTCTATTATTTATATTACTCTTCCTCTATTCAAAAATTTACTGTAATATAAAGTAAATATAACATATGAGCAGTATCTCAGATTTTTCATAGAATTCGCACAAGTTTTCAGCCAAAATACTGAATATAAATTGAGTCTAAGTTAAGTCTAACTATAAAATTAGCATCACACTGATTGGTTTGTTTAGTGTTTTTTTTCCTTTTTAACCTTCCAACAGCTAGTCTTTGTAAAAAAATATTTATTTATAAATATATTATTTACATTGTTGTTCATGTTTGTACACTGATATTTCCCCTCACATGTAATCCCCATAAAATACCCACCACCAAGTCACCTATGAACCATCACCAAAGTTCCTTGTGCTCTCCCTGTCCCTGTTTTGATGCCTCTCCCTCCCCTTCCCCTACAGAATGTCTCTGATTTATAGTTTGCCTGTTAATTTTGACTTTTTTCCCCTGATCCCTTAATCAGTGCCCCTATATTCCTCCTACAAGTGAAATCATTTATATTTTCCTTTTCCTTCTCCAACAGGCAGTCTTTTACTTAGAACTTACAAATTACCTGGCACAAGTGGCATCCTTATAACAGATTCAGAATTAACTAACAAATGAAGAAGAAATGCTTGGGTGTATGGCCTGTTTGGTTGTCAGTGAGTATTTATGGCTTACACACCAAAAAAATGAGAGTTTAAAAAAAGTTTGAGAGTAAATTTAAGGCACAGAAAGATCCCACTTCATAACAAGCCATGGCTTACCTGTGCATGAATAATCGTCAATTCTGATGTACCCTGTCTTGCAGATGCACATGAAGGACCCCGGGGTGTTCACGCACATCGTGTTCTCCCGGCAGTAATGGCGGCCTTCTGCACACTCATCAACATCTGTGAAGAAAAAGCAGGGCAAGGAGGTCAATACTGGCCAACAGTCTAGGGTTTCTCTCTCTCTCTCTCTTAGACTCTCTCTCTCTCTCTGATGGGGATCAGGCAATAGTTGCTAATTAAAGGAAGGTATTTTTTGAAAAGCATTCAAACCAGGACTTCCCTGGTGGCCTAGGGGTTGAATCTCAGCTCTATCACTTGAATTCAATCCCCAGCCAGGGAGCTAACCGCTAACCCACACATGGTGCAGCAAACCTCGCCTGTCTTGCACAATGCCCCCCTAGCAGTGGATTTCAGTCAATCTGCCCATTATGCTCCCTACTCTGTCTCTGGTGAATCCTCTCACTCCCACACCTCTGCCTATACCCCAGTTCTTCTACATCTTTTGCTGGAGTTTCAGAGATGTCTGTATATTTCACTTTGCATCATTGAAAACATACTTGATATTTGAGATCTTTAATGCATTTGTCACCTGTATTTGATAAAATGAATCGGACTGTATAGAAAGTGCTCCTTTAAAGTCTTGGAAGCTTGAATCACTGAGTCTACCACACATTATTTTTTGATTTGCCAGTCATTCTGTAAACTTGGGGAGACCCAGCCAGAAGTAAACATTTAATATATGCCAGAACTTGAATAATTTCACTTAAAGATATGAAACCAGTAACACATAGTTTCTTAGAGATTAAGTAGAAATATAGTTATCCCGGTAAGTGTCTGAACAGAGAATAAATTACAATGTAGAGACCTCCTATAAATAAGTTGTAAAACATTAAAATAAGATACCATATTGAAGAACTTTTATAGTAATTCACACATCAAGTTTTGAGTAGACTTATAGATACTAAGCTGTAATAGGCATTAGCACTAATTGGAAAGAATGTGAATTTCCACAATAAAACTGTCCCCATTTTATAGCACTTCTGTACAGAACATAAAAGTACTTTGCAGGTAGTTTATTATTATATAACACTCTTTATTAAGGCCTTCATGCATTGACAAGGCAAAGTATTTTCCTCCAGAGTTTGCTTTCTCAAGTCCTTGTGGTGACAGCACAAAGAAGCACTACCCTCCTTTCAACTATTAAGAGAAATGGATCAATTACAGGAGGAAGCTAGGTGACCTGCCACTCCAGGAACCAAGCCATTCACAGATTCTTAAATATGTCCCCAGTCCTCAGAATGTCAAGAGAGGTAACACACTCTCAGAAAGTGCATTTTAGACAGGATTCTTAATCATCATCAAAACTAATGACTTCTTTGTTAGAAAACAGATGTAGAGAGACTCATTTTTCCCTTCAACTTCTAAAGGAAAGCCATAAATTCCAAACCTTTTAACATGCCATGTCTTTTCCACGTTGGTACTTACTTTTCCAGGCTTCTAATGATTTCATTCCATTTTTCCCCTCTTAGTAGTCTGGTCAGACTGAGTTTTTATCATTCCTTCAATGGATCACACTATTTCATGCCTCTGTGCCTTCGCATATGCTGTTCCCTCTACTCCTTCCTTTGCTATCACCATCACCAATGAATCTTGTGCCCCAGTGCATTCATCCCTCAAGAATCTGCTTCTCTGTGAAAATCTTCCCTAATGAAGTAAAACATTCTCCACGAAGTGCTCCATTGATGCACTCCCTTGTGAATGTTTCCACAACAGATTATCAATTACACCTTTGTAAGTGTTTGTAAACTTCTTGTTCCTAAGAAGGCATATGAATTCCTCAAGGCTAGGGATTATCTGTTAGGTCTCATAGCGCCAATTATACATTATATTCATCTGGGACACTTTTTAAAAACCAACTTGGACCAACTCCCAACCTCTATTCCAAAATCTGACATAATTACTTATGCTGGAACACAAGATTTTTTAAAAATCTTGTCCAGAATACATCTATTACAGGAATCAGTAAAATTTAGAGCCAGAAGCGTCAATAGTAGAGGCTTTGGGAATCATATGATCTCTGTTACTTTGCTACTGAGGCATAAAATCAAACATAGACATTAGATAAATGAGTAAGCCTGGAAATGTTTCAATAAAACTTCATTTACAAAAACAGATGACGAATTAGATTTGACCCACAGGCCAGTCTGATGACCCCTGGTCTAATGTGCTACCAGGGTTAAGAGTCAGAGGATATATTATTAATTTTTCATCCATAATACCTTGTAGGGTATCTAGGGCATAAATGGATGAATAAATGCTTCAAGGTCAGTTTAAGCAAGAGCTAAGAATGGCACTCAGATTCTTGCTTTTAGTATAATATACTTTTCATGATACCAAACTACTTCTAAATGTTTGTACTGGTCTATAATGGAAGTATAATATTTAATTATAGTCTAAAAACCAAATTATAAAGCACCAGGGGGAAACATGATGAAAACTCATTTGCTTCAGGGTCTTACTATCACAATGGGAATCATATGAGATTATTAATGTGTTCAGCTGGATCAGTGGACTTAACCCTTTCCTTCTAAGAGGCTACAATAGAGAAGTGAAAGTTAAAACTGAATCCTCTAAGCTTAAGACTGTGAGCAGAGGGATGTCCGTGAAGTCCTTTTGTACAAAGGCATAAAGAATTTAACTTTGGGGCCTCCCTGGTGGCCTTGGGTAAAGTCTCAGCACTATCACCACTAAAACATGAGTTTGATCCCTGGCCAGGAAGTTAACCCACATATGGCACAGCAGACCACTCCTGCCTCACCCACTACTCCCCTCAGCAGTGGATTTCAGAAAATATCCCCACTCTGTCTCTAGTGAGTCCTCTCACCCCCCCCACACCTCTGGTCTACACCCCAGTTCTTCTATGTAAAATAATAACAATAATAATAATAATGATAATGATAATAATGACAACCGCAATAACAATAATGAAAATAAAGAAGAATTTTAACTTTGGGGAAGATAGAGCCAAGAATAATGAATAAAATCAATGAATACATGAATACATTGAATCGTTGAATACATTGACTACATCTAGGTTATCAGAAGAATGAAGTATTCTTCTGATTCTGTGGCATCTCCTCAAAACAAGAGTAGTTCCTAGTGAGACTAGCAGAGTTAGGAAAGTAACTTCAAAGCCTAGTAGAGTAGCACTGAGCCCCAGATGGGGCAAGCACTAATCCCAGAAGGCACTGTTCCTCCCTCCAAAGAGCCAACAGTACCATAGAGAAGAAGCTGGCCCTATCAAGAATAGCCAATCAAACTCATAAGGTCATAGGAAGTACCCCAGATTCCCCCCAAGGACATTGAGGAATGGAACTTGGAGAACACTAACATCCTAGGGGGGAGATGGGGAAAGCAACCAAAGAGTTAGGGTTATTTTTGCTAATGTGACTCCATGTCAAGCCACAAGTTATTGGATAATTGAATTTATAAGGCAAATAAGGATAAATTGTGCAAGAGTAAGATGGCTTTCTAAATACTGCCTTTTACTGTTCATTGTCACCCAGGCTGTTAAAAGACATTGCCTTGACCAGTATTGTTAGGTATATGTTGCCTTTTAGACTATCATGTGGTCAGAAGAAACTCATTGTCGATAAGAGTCCCCCAGCCAAATCAAGGGACCTATTAATGTGAAGACTTTTAGGAACTCAAATTATTTGGATAAAATGGAAATATTAGGCTCATGACAAATATAGAAAGTTTAGGACTACTCCTGGAGAAGTAATGAAGTAAAAATACCAAAAAATTCCATTACAACTCCGTAGGGTCCACTGCCTTTCAATTTCCCAGGCTCTGTTCTAAGAGGGACTCCCCAAAGAGCTGAATTCACCACTAAAACTGCAAAGCTACACACAGGTTCTTTCCATTTACATGGACAGAGACTCATGTGTGCAGATACTAAAATGTAGTAAGTGAGCAATCATGTTCCAAACCTAGTGCAGGGAATATTTTAGTTCTAAATCTCAATTCAAAAATGAGTGAGTCAGTGGCACAATTCGGTTCAATTGTCTGCACATTTAAAAAATGTGCAAGACATTTATTGGAGGGACCACCCTGGTGGTGCAGCAGGGTTGAGCGCAGCACTATGAAGCTATCCGCAGCCTCTGCATTCCCAGGTGGCCAGGGAGATACCCACATGGCGCAGCAGACCTCTCCTGTCTCACCTGCTGCTCCCCTCAGCAGTGGATTTCAGTAGCATTGCCTGTTCTGCTCCCCACTCTGTCTCTGGGGTATCCTCTCACCCTCCCACACCTCTGGTAGACACCCCAATTCTTCTGTGCAAAAAAAATTCTGTTCCCTGCTCTGTCTCTGGTGAATTCTCTCACCCTCCCCCACCTCTGGTCTGTACCCCAGTTCTTGTATAAATAAAAAAATAAAATCTTTAAAAAAAAAGACATTTATTGGATTTTTGGTCATAATGATGACCTTAGGGGTAGAAATCACAGGTGAATGATGCGTAAGAAGGTTCCTTTTTCACCACATCTTTGCCAAAACAGATTATTTCCATTCTTTTTGATATGGGCCATTTCCACAAGTGTGATGTGGTTTGATTTTCATTTTGGTCTTTAACATCCTTTTTAAAATGTAGTTCAGGGCCTCCCTGGTGGTGCAGGCAGTTGAGCGCAGTGCTGTGAGGCTGTCCGCAGTCTCTGCAGTGCCAGTTCGATCCCTGCCAGCCTCGGAGCAAGCCACGTGTGAGCAGACCTCACCCATCTCGCCCACTGCTCCCCTCAGCAGTGTATTTCGGTCAGTCTGCCTGTTCTGTTCCCCGCTCTGTCTCTGGTGAATCCTCTTACCCTCCCGCGCATCTGGCCTGTACCCCGGTTCTTGTATAAAAATGAATAAATCTTTATTTATTAATTAATAATTAAATGTAGTTCAAAGAGTGTTAAAGCACAGACCTTGCCTTAAAAGGACTTACAATCCAAGAAATGGTAACATCATCCTCACCATCCAGGCCAGTAGTTTCTATGTGTAAGCCTGCATTTTATTTTATTTTATTTTTTTAAAGATTTATATATTTTTATACAAGAACCAGGGTACAGGCCACATGCTCAAGA